ACGGCAGCTGCAACAGTCCTGAATGAAAAATATAGGAGCGACGCACTGCAATTGCAGGGGAAAAAACATAGCAGTTTTTCAAACAATACCGAAAGATCTAAACACTGCTCTCGCATTTTCAGAAGAGGTACAGCCTAGCCATGAACGCAGTGTATTTGCAGCCACCTTTCCAAGACACGCTGACGAAAAAATTGGGAAAACCACTAACGAAAATACTAACTGTCGGCAAAGCGAAAATTCTAAACAACAAAATATCAACCTAGAAAACGCTAGCTAAAGGCAGCGAAACTCTTTTTGGCAAAAAAGTCAATCGGTACCGGAATCAATGGAAGTTGATCCTTCTTCGCGGAAATGTCCCGAGTAATAAACAAAAAGTGAATATCACAACTCAGGAGCAAGAACACACCGAATATGACGAGAAACACGCTTAAACAATATAGAGGGTTCGATGCCAGAATTGTAATTTTTTTTACCCTTGCAGAGCAAAGGGGTATTATAATTTCAGTTAGAAATTTACAACGCAGTGAAGGAGACACCTCCTCCTCCAAATACGTCTGTACGTCTGTCCGTCTGTCCGTCTGTCCGTCTGTCCGCCTTAGGAGATAACAAACTTTCGATTTAAACCGCCGAACAGTGGTTGATACCGAAACACCCAAGCCTTCCGGACGACCAGTGACCGTTGATACGGATAAAATCATTGAAATAGTGGATCGAGATCGTCATGTGACTATTAGAACCATCCCAGTGGAGCTGCAACTAAGCACGGAATCCGTCCATAGGCGTTTAAAGTCTAAAAATTTAACAAAAAAGCTCGATGTATGGATCCCTAATGAGTTATCCCAAAAAAACCTTTTCGGCCGTGTATCAATCTGCGAATCTTTGTTGCACCGTAATTAACTCGATTCATTTCTGGATCGGTTAGTAACTGGTGATGAAAAATGGATCACATATGACAACATAAAGCGTAGAAGATCCTGGTCGAAGCACGATGAGTCGTCTCAAACGGTGGCAAAGCCAGGACTGACGGCTCAGAAGGTGTTGCTGAGTGTATGGTGGGATATCAGAGGAATTATCCATTATGAAGTGTTGCCCTATGGCCAAACCATCAATTCTGACCTCTACTGTGAACAAATGGAGCGATTGAAGATTGCACTTGAAGGAAAGCGGCCAGCCATGGTGAATCGTAAGGGCGTTGTGTTCCATCATGACAACGCCATATCTGCCAAATGAACAATAGTCAAAAATATGGAACATAAATAGAAAAATCGTCAAAGCTTCGATGTAGTTTAACCTTAATGTATTTTGTTCGACATACTTGATGACTGCAAGGGAATAAAGCTTCGATTTGCCGAAGCTATTGTAGCTTCCTTTCTTGTTATGAAATTTTTTTCTCGGTTAAAAAAGTCGATGATGCAAAAATCATGCTCGTGGAATAAAAAGCAACGACGTTATAATTTTTTGCCATTATTTATATATATTTTTTTCGATATTTCCTATGACAGCTATATGATAGAGTTATCCGATTTCGATCAAATTTAGTCCGAAATTCGATAGTGGTTAAAAAGAACCATCTGGAAGAAATCAAGTAGATCCGATCAAAAACAACAGTGACAATTTTTTTTCAATCTCTCGAATGGGAGCTATCCTATATAGTCGCCTGATCCTGCTCGATCCGACTGATATACTGCGTGCAATAACTACACAACTTTTGGAAAAGTTTCAGCAAGATAGCTTTAAAACTGAGAGACTAGTTTACATAGAAACAGACAGACGGACAGACGGACAGACGGACAGACGTACAGACGTATTTGGAGGAGGAGGTGTCTCCTTCACTGCGTTGTAAATTTCTAACTGAAATTATAATACCCCTTTGCTCTGCAAGGGTAAAAAAAATTACAATTCTGGCATCGAACCCTCTATATTGTTTAAGCGTGTTTCTCGTCATATTCGGTGTGTTCTTGCTCCTGAGTTGTGATATTCACTTTTTGTTTATTACTCGGGACATTTCCGCGAAGAAGGATCAACTTCCATTGATTCCGGTACCGATTGACTTTTTTGCCAAAAAGAGTTTCGCTGCCTTTAGCTAGCGTTTTCTAGGTTGATATTTTGTTGTTTAGAATTTTCGCTTTGCCGACAGTTAGTATTTTCGTTAGTGGTTTTCCCAATTTTTTCGTCAGCGTGTCTTGGAAAGGTGGCTGCAAATACACTGCGTTCATGGCTAGGCTGTACCTCTTCTGAAAATGCGAGAGCAGTGTTTAGATCTTTCGGTATTGTTTGAAAAACTGCTATGTTTTTTCCCCTGCAATTGCAGTGCGTCGCTCCTATATTTTTCATTCAGGACTGTTGCAGCTGCCGTACCATGAGGCACCAGAGTTCACAAAAAAAAATTTTCTCGCACAAGAGTTAATTAAACAATATAATTTATCAATTTATTTGGATTCCGAATTGGTTATATATAACAAGCAAATCAAAAGAATAACGCAGCTCCGTTAGCGTTTCGATGCAGTGCAAATATCAGACTAATTTGTCTCTCTCCCTCCAACAACAGCGAGAGCTCCCTTTGCCCAAACTCTCAGCAGGTATTGGCACCATGGGGCCAGATCACGAACCTAAACATGCCGCCCGCCAATTCTAGACCGTAGCATTAAGAGTGTCCTAAGCGTCCTGAGCGTCCTGAGCTGTACCTGGAATACGGGAGGAGAAAGAAAAAGAAAATGTCTGCATAAGCGTGAGCGACTAGAGCTGCTTTGAGGAAGGCTATTCTTAAATCGGCAAGCGACAGATCTTCGCTACCGAACCCTTCAGTTGTCCTTGTTGGGTTTTTAGCGTCACCACGCGAACGAATCCATCCTGACCCCGGTGAAACTCGACAATTCTTCCAAGCAGTCACTGCGAGGGGAAAATCTGTCGTCCTTGACAAGTACAAGATCGTCCCACTTTAGGTTCTCCTAACTTTGAAACCATTTTGGACGCTGCTGCAAATGACTAAGCCAATCCCTACTCCAGCCGTCCCAAAAATGTCGCAAAATTGATTACTGAAGCAGGAACTGCTCCCTGAACTACCACCTTTGTACGTCTCCATTCAGCCAGTGCAAGACGATAGTGGCGTCCGTTCTGGGTATGGTTAACGGCTTGACTGGTGTGGCCAGCAAGGTCGTGCCGACGGTCCCGTTGACGTGCTCGACTCGCAGGTAAACAGCGGCAGCATACGACGACGACGACCCGCAATGTCCTCGATTCCTGGGAGGTCAAAGCAAAACGCTCGCCAACGCTCCAAAATCGCTGCTGGCACCGGTGAGTCCCAGTCCAACGACCTGCACTCCCTCGCTGATCGCCACCTTGACCAAAGTCACCTCCTTTAAAATGGGCTTCCCAACGATGATGACCGGAGCTATCAGACCTAACGGATCGAAAAGTTCCTTCTCATCTGGAGTCAAAATTCATTTGAAACCGGAAACAGTCGGAGTCTGCGAGCCAATACATCCCCAACGCTTTTACCGCTTTTCCCTTGCATCCCAATTCAAAGGTTTCTGGTACCATTGATGCTCCTGCGGAACAGAGCCGAGCAATCGCGGATCGTTACTCTAACCGAGCCGAATATGCTGCGCCATACACCAGGACTCTTATGACTGTGTATGGTGCGGATGCCGTTCGGAAAGTCAGAGTCGACAACGCGTTTGCCTTGTTGGTTCCATCCGCCGCCCGCCATAAAATCCGCTGATATTGCGTATCCTCCGGGTGAACGTTAATGCAGCGATACATTTTTTGAATGTCAGCTGCAAAAACATAGAGATATTTTTGCCAATTGAAAAACACTGCAGACATGTCGTTTTGGAGAGGGGGTCCGGTGACTAGAACATCATTTAGGGATCTTCCGTTGCTCGTCTTCGCGGATGCGTCGAACACTATCCTCTGCTTCGTGGCAGGACCTTCTGTCTTGTAGACGGCATGGTGGGGTAGCACACAAGACGCATGATGTATTCCGGCCGGGGTGCGTACACATAAGCTGCTCTCGGACCCTTCCGCGAGAGCGATTTGTCCCAAAGTAAAATACTCCTCAATCTCCTCAGCCTCAATCTCCTCCTGCCTTTCTTGCACCGGACGTGCCGCAAGTCGCCGCTCGAGCTGGAGAAACCGGTTAAGGGCCCCTTGGTGAGATCGTCCCAACACGATGTTGTGGTCCAGACACCTTTTGAAAGGGAGGCGCACCACGTAGCGTCCATCCGTATGTCGAAAATGCGTTCTTTGAAAGAACGATTCGCACCAACGATCCTCCACCGTGCGAGCCGTCCGCTCTGGTACGGTCTCGATCTCGAAAAAGCCCTTCAGAAGCGACTCCGCCTCGGAGACTACATGATGGCAACGGATCTGTGTAGAGCTGGTCGTGTCGGCGACTTGACCTGACAGAATCCATCCCAGCTGAGTCTGTTGAGCAATTTGATCCGTAGGACTTTATATCCGTGTACCGGACAGCATGATCTGCGCAATTAGGTCCACTCCCAAGATAAGGTCAATCTTCTTCGAACGGTAGTTCTCCGGATCTGCTAGGGGAAGTCCTTGAATGTGGATCCATCGTTGCGGCGAGAAGCTTGAGCAGGGCAGCATAGACTTCGTGTCCAAAACGTATGCCGAAGAGACGTCTAACGAGATATGATTATTAGTACTTAGAACCTTGAAGTTAACCATGTACTTGCTCCTGGACCCAACCCCTTTGCCTACGCCGACAATGGACGTCCTCGCCATTGTGCGCCTGAGATGCAGGGATTGCATCACATGCTCGGATACAATGGTCTCCTCGGAGCCCTGATCGATGAGCGCCGTGACGACAGCTTGTAGCCCGTTGTCTGGATTCTGGATCGTGATGCGTGCTGTAGCCAAAAGTACATTGCCCACTCGATTAGAGGGGATGAGGAAATATAACATCGATATTCGGAGCCGACTTCCCGTTGATACTGATCAGAATTATTAGCCATGGAAGATCGCAACTGCAGCGACGGTGTCTAGGCAGAGGGCGCCCGCGGAGCGATGGCGGGCTGAGCTGCCCTCAGTAAGTGCAACAGCGTATGATGACGCTGACCGCAAACCAGGCACCCTTTGTTGCTGGTGCAGCGGGGAAGCGCATGAGCCTTGCTGAGGCAGTTGATGCACAGCTTCGCCCTACCCACAATCTCCTTGCGCCTCCACGCTTCCAAATCAAGAAACGCCGGACAACGGCGCAGAATGTAACCGCCATTGCAATGATGACAACTTAAGCCGGGGCGTCCTGACTCGTCGCGAACGTTGTGCACTCGAACCCGGTGCATGCCATCTGACGATCCGGGCCCAGGACTGAAGTCGTTCGACAAGCTTTGGTTTTCGATCGCATCCATGACCACCAGCCGGTCGTTTAGAAACGACTCCAGATCTGCATAGGACGGAACGGTTGGCATACTGCCTTGATGATGCTCCCATTCGTTGAGGGTTTCCTTTGGGAGCCTGGAAGCCGCGTGATATGCGAGCCAATGATGTACCTCCCCTTTTAAGGCCGTGACGCGCCTGAAGGCCGCGAAACAAACTTTTACGGTGCTGAGCATATTCCGAAGCGCTTCCGACGACTCCTTCTACAATTTCGGCAGCGAAAAGATAGCGCTCATGTGATGAACGAAGACCAGACGCGGGTTGTTGTAGCGCTTAAGCATCAGGGACCAAGCCACCGGGAAGTTGTAGTCGGCAAGCTGCATTTGGCGCACGTCGTTATCGCGCCCGGCAATGATCGATTCCATAGGAAAGTTTTTGCATTTTTGGATTTTTGTATATAAGACTGTTAAATGCATCAAAATAACCCGGCCAGTCCACGGCCGCACCTGAGAATTTTGGAACTGTCATTTGTGGCATCGTCATCCGAATCTCAGCAGTCGGTCCGACAGCCGCGGCCACAGTCGCGGTCTTAGACTCCGCTGGCACAAGCTTCTCTTGGTTCTCCGCGAAAAGACAATAGGTGTCCATATAACGCTCTTCAATTTCCGATTGAAAATGTTTGGTAGCATACACCTATTCCGAATTGCCGGCTATGTTAACAATCTGCTCGTGAGCGACCAAAAACGGACCTGCGTTTTTCTACTTGCCGAATCTTTCCCATAATTTTTAAAAATTGTCTTTAAAGTGTTGTGCTTGTCAAGGTTAATAAATTTTTTAAAGACAGTGGAGTTTCTGTTTGGGGATCCTTGCTCGCACACAAAAAACTTTTTCTTTTCTTTACCCAAAAAATCCAGCACAAAGCCAAAGCGAAGATAACCAACGGCGTCCCGTCTGATCGTAGATAAGCGCTTATCTTAAGCGGCGCTTAACAATATTTCTTATCTGTGTTCGTCGAACCGAGTTGATTTTCACTGCACAAACTAACGGAGCTGGCGTCGCGCACTTTTAATGACTTTTAATAAGGCTTTTATATATAACTAAATTGTACACAAATTATTCACAAATGTTTAAAGACGTTCCCCCTCATGGGCCACCATGTTAAGATGTGTCCCCTCCTGGCGGCAGCTCGGGGTCATAGAATTAAGGGGTTCAGTCGTAGTAAAAAGTCACTATTTATTTGGTTTCCGAATTGGTTATATACAGGGCTAACAGAGTTATGTTTTTAAATGAAAAAATATTTATTTCCATATTTTCGCCTTTTTTCCTATAAATCCATATTTAACACAATCACTTGAATAAATCCATATTTTGAGCATTAAACTGTCTGAAAACCTATAGAAAGATATGTTTGGCTCAAATATTATGAAATTTCTGTCGTTTGCCTTATACTCGATAATAAATAATGGAAACAAAACAAAACAAAATTCAGTATATATTCCATATTTCATGCTTTCAGTTCTTATGTCTCTTAAATTCATTTTCATCATATAAACACATATTGAGTGACAAACGCCGTAGTTTTGTTTTTACTAATCTGACACATGTCATATTGTTCTGCAATGATCTTTGAGACAAACGGCGCACGTTTGTTTGTAGCGATTTCTAATTGTTCATTGTCATAAAAAGTTAATATGATCGATATAATCGTCTACGTTTATCCATTTTTTTTTACCTATATTTATCCCTTTTTTCGTCTATACTACCTATATTTATCCATATTTATCCATTTTATTCCATATTTGTCAACTTTTTCGTCCATATTTCGTCCATATTTCACTATTTTTTCGTCCATAAATCCATACATTTTTTTACGTTTTTGAGAACATAACTCTGTTAGCCCTGGTTATATATAACAAGCAAATCAAAACAATAAGGCAGCTCCGATAGCGTCGCGATGCAGTGCAAAGATCAGACTAATTTGTCTCTCTGCCTCCAACAGCAGCGAGAGCTCTATTTGCCAAAACTCTCCGCAGGTATTGGCACAGTGGGGCCAGATCGCGACCACCATTAATTAAAATTAATTATTATACCGGAATCCGCTTGGATTCTTTTCACGTCTGTTAATAACTAATAAAGCTAACTTAAATATTCTCCAAGAAAGCCGGGCAGAAGGCACGACGTCGGCAACGACGAGCAGAATTGGCGGAAGCGCTATTGGTAGAATTTTGACCTTGTATTTTGCATCCGCTGCAAAGCCCGCTGCCCGCTCGTAACTCGGCCATTTTGGTCAGCGGGACTAGCGTAGAACAGCGTAGGACTTAGCGCCTTGTGCCCGGATAATTGCATCCGGTCTTGCAACATCTTTCAGTTCCATGCTAACTTGTAGTTTATTTTTATCGGTGCTAAGTAGATTAATTAGAAATTGTGTTTCTTATGTTTTTAATAACGGGCGTACACAAAAAAAAAAAAAAAATACTATTCTGTTATCTGTTTAGTGTGCAGACTTTTTCTAACACAACACTATTCGCGAAGCGGTTTTGTCCAATAAGTTTTGGGCTAAACCAGATGCTCTTCATTTTAATTTCTCCTCAGCTGCTTTAAAGGGTACATATCGTTGCCACTTTGTCTAGCATTCATGTATCGTTGCTTAGGTAAACCATTAACCTACAAATGGTTAAAACAAATACATTTTTTTTGGTTTACTTTTAAATTCAAATACAAATTATTCCGCTTCACTAACTGAATGAAATTGTTATTATCTACCGCAAGTTCAGGTTTTGAATTTCCTATAAGTGGTATTTCAGCCATCTTATATATACACTTTTGACGACCTACTTTCTAAAAGAAATCAATTTTTTACACTGGCGGTAGGCATTTCTTAATTTGGTGCATTTTACGGCAGCAAGTTTGGCAATTTCTTTTTTTTTTTTTAATATTAGTATGTTGAACCTATTATCAAAAATGCACGGAAAAGTAGAACAAATATGATATGAGATTTCACTCAGGTCATTGCATAGTCCTATGCCTCTGCAAGGGTATTATTTCAGAACTGATTTTCATCAAATTTTTATTGTTTGCAATACTAGATTAAAAGTGTATCCTTAAGACAATAAATACATTTTTTATGTGAAACATCTTCATTCTCAAGCACGCATTCATTGTTATTTTTAAGTAAATCTTATAATTGTTCCCAAAAATTAGGGTGAATTTATTTTTGAAATGTAAAAGCTTATTTTTTCCTCTTAAGTCCCCTAAAATCCCCTTCAAAGTAATCCCCTCCCGTTAAAATACACTTATGCCAACGTTTTTTCAAATCCTCGAAACATACCAAGCAATCCCTTTCCGGTATAGCCAACAGTGCTTTCTTCGATTCTGCTTTTATCTCCTCAATCGACTCGAAACGCGTTCCCAGAAGTGTTCTTTTGAGTTTTGGGAATATCCCGAAGTCACATGGACCCAAACTAGGAGAATACGATGGTTGCGGAACGATATGCGTCGAATTCTTGGCAAAGTGGTCACGAAGGACGAGTGCAGTGTGAGACGGTGCATTGACGGTTTTGAGATTTGACTTTTCGTAAGCCCAAAAGATTTTTCAAAATGGTTTTCATTCTGATATTCCGATCATATCAGTAAGGTCCTTACACTCAACCGACGATTTTTGAGCACTATTCCTTCACTTCATTGACGTGTTTAGAATCACCAGAGACCTTTCGCAACACTTTCAATGTGTCCGCAGCCGAAATTCCATCCCTCAAACAAGATTTTATGACAATTCTCGATTCAATTTACTCAGACACTTTAAAAATTCAAACTTTTAAAAGTGTCTGAGTGAATTGAACCAATTAAAAAAAAAGGACTAGCCCGTAATGATAAGACCCTGATGTTTTAATTAAAAAATTACGTGACTTTTTGCTTACAGTAGTATGGCATAGAAAAAATGAGATAATAATGGAAATTTCGACATAATAAAATTAGTAATATACAGTACACCTTATTAAGCATCGGACTAACATAAGAAAAAAGTTCTAACAGTAGCTAGGCTAAAATAAGTTGATCAGCAAATTAAAGGCTATAGAATAGTCAAACTAAAATCGTTCCTTTCTTATTTTAAATTGTTGACCAATATGGCAGTATAAAATGGTTTTTCTCATATAGAGTATTAACATTTTAAAATTGCCCCAACCGTACAAAAACGTTAAAGGATGCCCAATTGGGTTGTTGGCAGCTTTCAGCGTCGACAGATTGTTAAACTAAAAATACAAAATAAAAATAAATATGTATTGCCGAAATGTTTAACAGTTCAACCTATAATAGTTTAAGGGGGGGTAAGGTTTTAAAAAAATTTTTTTATATATTTTTTTTATTTTTTTTCTGAATGACCAATGTGTTTAGAACATTGTGTAAAAATTTTGAGTCAATTAAAGTCAAACTAACAGAGTTACAGCGTTTTAAACAACCGTATTTGGACGTATTTGGGCGTATTTTCACGTATAAAAATACTTTGAATCGATTTTGCCGAAGACGTTATTTTGAAAGTCGGTGAACATCAGAGCTCAAAATCTACTGAACCGATCCTTTTCAAATTTTTAACACAAATTCTAAACATAAATACGCAGGTAATCAGGAAGAGTTTTTTTTAATTTTTAATTTTTTTCTATTTTTAAAAAATAAATTAACAGCGATTTTTAAGCTAAAATCGCACTTTTCACTTTCAAGTGCTCCCAAAAATAGACAAAAAATAAATTTAAAAAAAAACTCTTCCTGATTACCTCGGGAAATTCATTATCTTTACAACGCATATCACATTTTATTTTTAAGATGATCCGTTATCGCCCTATGATGTTCACCGCAAAACAACTTTTTCTTAAGGCGCTTCGGAAGATTAACCGCCACAGGCTTATTTCTTAATATTTTGTAATACTTTTTTTTTCTAATACTCTTCAAAAGTTAAACAATAACATGTAATTAAGCTCAATAAAATAAACTTACTCATTTCGCCGCTAAAAAAGATCAAACATGGCCCTTTTTTTGGCCTTTAAAACCTTACCCCCCCTTAAGAGACATCTGCAACATCCTAAAATGTATATTGATCAAATCAATAACCCTTTCGCAGATAACAATTATGTGCTAATATCGGAGCATATCTGGCACGCTCTTCTTGCTTATGCCATTTTAGGGGACTTATCCAATTCCTCACACGTCTACCAAATAACGGAAAACTGTGACGTTACTAGAATTTTGTACATCGGTGAGGAACTTGAAAATGCTGATATGTTCAGAAAAAGAAGTGATTGGTGTCATTATTAAGAATTGTGAACGCGGAAAATAAAGGCCATCTTGGAGGCAGGTTTGTTCAATACTTCTTCAAACATGGTCGTGGTTTTTATACCATACAAAACAAGAAAGGAAGCAAGCTTTGGCAAGC